GCATGTTCATGCAAGTTTGAGAGTTTGCAAATTTATACACGTGTCATAATTTTAATTAAACACTGAAATTTGTTGAAAAATGCATTATATATAAATAGATTTTCAGGATTTCACTGGTCATTAATTTACTTATTTATAGGTTTTAAAAGCTATAAAAAAATTTGTTTGCAAGAGTTTACAATTTTAAAACCAGCCAGTCACATCTTTTTAGGTTTCTTTATTATTTAGGTAATGTTGGTGGTAAATATACAATGACATAATATACTATAATATTAACAGGAAATGACCAAAGTGCATTTTTCAATATAATTTAAAGGTGACCTGTTTTTAAGGCTGACTGAGCTTTTTGGTGGGGCTGGATTTCATGTGTTTTTTTGTTGTTTTTATTTTACTTCTATTCTATTGCTTTTTAAATACTATTTGGTCCTTTGTTAGAATCAAAATTTAACAGTAAAAAGAAGCAAATAAAACAATTTACCTTCATGTTTTCAATATAATGCCTTCTTGCCTGCAGCCCAGTGAGACAAATGTAATGCCTGTTGACTCACAACCAAGGCGTCCACATCATGCAGGATGTGGCATCAAATAAACGTATGACCTGATCTTTCCTCCCGCGTGTCCTCTGCAGATGTCAGCCCTTTGGCATTTATTGGAATACAGAAGATTAACACCGCAAATTCATCTCAGGTAATTGCTAATTATAGCTTCTGACAACACTGTAGGAAACAGGCCCAAGGTACAGTTGTTAAAATTAATTGCGTGCTAATATAACCCACGAACAGGAACTGTTAGTCCTTTTTGAAATTTACACAAAAGTGTTAATGGTCCATTTAAAAATGTTCTTGCGGTACATAGGCCTAAGTTACGAGCATTAACTTCAGGAGGGTATCTGCACAAACGCTTTTGTGCAAATGTGATGGGTTTTGCTTACTCTGGTGAATGTTTGTCCTCGCTGAGGCCGAACCTCATACAGCTTTCATTTATCAGATCTATGTCTTCACCTCCTCCTCTTTTTTTTAAATTTAATTTCGACTTTTAGGGTTAATGTTGACCCTTCTTTTTTAACGTAGGCCGCTCCGTACAGACAGGCACAGAGGAGCATCAGAGAAGCGATGCGAGAAAGGGGCCATTAAATTTCAACATATCTGGTATTGACAGCAGTTTTACTTTCAAGAGTAAGACACGTAGTTTATTTTAACGAACGACAAATAGTGTTACTCACAGACAGACGGGCGGAGGTTGTGAACACAGTCCGTCAACGTGAACAGACAGAGTAAGGCGGCCAGTGTTAGCCAAAGGTAACGCTACAGCGGTGCTGAGGAAATGATAATTTGCCAGTGCACGCGGTGACTGAGGTAGGTGTCTTTTTTTTCTAGGTGATTAATGACTAGGATATTAATAATATATCGTTTTTGATTTGCAGACACGCAGGTAGCAGGCCGTTTTCATCTGAATGACAGGCCACACAGAGGGGTTTTGGTGTGTTCCTCTATTACACGGATAACTCCTTTAGCCAGACCTTAATATAAGTTATTTATTGCTGTTTTAAATAGTAGTTGAATAATCAGAATAACTCATTTTCAACGACAGGATGTGCCCTGTGCTTCAAACACGCATTTGGCGCAGCTTTTAGGCCTAAATTTACAGCGCTCTAGCCTCTACGTCATGTTTTAGCAACAGGACTTTTAGGATATTCACTCAGTCAGACTTGCAATCATGACTAAATGGTGTAATGGGTGAATTTGCACTAAACCCTGTTTTTTTTCTCTGTTTTGTTGTTTAATACCACCAAAGTCTTGAATATAGCAGTTTCAGTTTTTCATGGGTTTCCTTTGTCTTGTATTTTTGGCAGTTGCTGCTGCTCTAAGCTTGGCCTTGTTAATAAAACCTGAGGTGGTTTTCATTTCTCTCCTGCTCTCAGTCGTACCCTGTCAGGGCAGGAGGGGAGATTGTCTTGCCCATTCTGGCGAACAAAGGTCGTCGTTTTCTGAAAGACAGAGCATGGCACGCAGAGATAAGATGAGCTCTCGCTCAAATTATTGCAGAGCAGATACCTACAGAGTCCAGTGGCAGAGGCCCGAAAAAACTGCCCCCCTTCGTTCTGCCCCGAAGAACTCTGGGCAAACAGGAGAAACCTCCTCTAATGAGCTGAAGGGAATGTGGGTTTGAAAATGTCAAAAAAAGGACATTAAATAGTAGGGTGCCACTCAGACTCATTTCTTGTCCAAAATCATAAAAGATCTTGCCTTAACTGCAAATTGTGCACAGTCCTCAATGCCTGTGTAATGCTGCTGTTCATAATTTTGCATTTGGTCCAGTTCATGATCATAATAGGCCTGGCAGCGAATTTAACTAAGTGAGTTTAAAGAGATTTTTTTTTTTTGAAGGATTATGTTTCATACAAATAGTATTTGCTTAATAATACGGATTAATTTGTAGTCTGATAATAATTTCCGTCAGTTTTTCATCCTCTTTTTGTTATATAAAGACTTATATTACTGAAAATTTTTTGGAATACAAAAGGTAATATGTTGTTAGTTTGAATGGACAAAGGAGAGGCTTGGATTTCCCTGACAGTGCTCTTGGTTATTATCATTTTGCCTGTAAGTAATAGCATGATGATATTACAGGAAGTGACAGTAATACTTGTCATATGTCACTCCTTTTCTTTGTTTGTGGCCCATTCATAAAAAAAAAGTCAGTCTTTTCAAATAACTAACACAAACTCCTCCATTGTTATTCTTCAAAAACAAACACACACGTCTTTAATTTTATCTTCTCATGCATCTTCACTCATTCCCACATTTTTCTCGTGTTCAGTGTGGCTCTGTGAGGCGGGCGTATGTTAGCATGAACAATCGGCACCCGGCCCGGCTCGGCCTGGTCCAGATGGGGTCTGCACAACCCCCCCCCCCCCCCCCCCCCCCCAGCAGTAGCAGTGACGAGCCAGTCAGCCAGCCAGGCAGCCAGCTAGCCAGCTAGCTACCCACCCGGGTAGCCAACCAGTCATTCACCCAGCCAGTCATGTAGCCTTTCAGCCAACCTAACAGCCAGCTTGCCAGCCAGTCAGTGGACCAGCCAGTCATCCAGGCTGCGGCTCCTCTGTCAGACACTGACAGAGGGAGCAGGCCAGGCTAAATCTGATGGTCCTGGGAGCCAACCAGAGGACTCTGGCCTTTGTAGGGCGTTCACACAGACAGCCTGTCCCGTTGCACAGCAGGGGGCTTCATCCCACAATCAAATGGCCGGGCCCTCAACTTTGCCACATGACAAGTTAGCTTTTTGTGGCTGCCCACTGCTGAGATTCCAGTTTTGACGATGTCTCTATAATTCCTGTGAGCCTCATGGACTAATTCATGTAAATTGGAAAGCGAAAATGAGCAAATGTGGTCTTGTTTTTGTAATTTGGAAGAGTGACATTTAAATACACTTCTAATGAGTAGAGCCGTCCATACGTATTTCATATCAAGCCCATTATGGCGATATTATTTTTCTGACAAATACATCAGATTATATTGAATTGATCCTTGGTGAGAGCCTTTGTCTCTCAAATATTTCTCCCATGGTGCACTGGGCACAGCTTGTCCCTCTGAGGTCATGAGGGTCAGCCAATGAGGACGAGACAACGTTCTTGCCAGGGCAGCTATACAGCCCTGTGCTCCCTCACTTTCTGTTGCTGTTCAATTCCAATTACGTGTCATTGTGTCCTTTATAATGCAACGAGATGAAAATATGGGCAATTTCCTGGATGCCGTTGGAAACTATAATTCTTTTCACTTTTACAAAGACCAGAGTGTCTAAATCTGAAAGCATTAGACTAAGATATGTGAATTACAGGGAAGCGGAATAACTCGTTTTCGACAGTTTTGATATCCGCTTGCCTTAGTAAACAGCTTAACATGTATAGGCTACTTACATGAAGCTGTCCACCGCAGCATTTTCAACCGTCATTGTCCACTGAATCCTGTCTCTCACTCGCAAATGGGATTGCTGTCTAATTTGGTAACAGAAACTTTTAATGTGTTTATGTGTCTGTGTTGTTGGGGCTATTAAAGTGGAGTAAAAAAAAAAAAAAAAAAAAAAAAGAGGAAAGGAAAGAAGGGACCAGTTTGGATGTGAGAGTGCATTTTGAAACAGGAGAGCATGTTTTTGGATGGTATTTTTTGTTGAGGGGGGTAACGGGCATTTTCTTCCCCCTCCTCTCTTTGTTTGTGTGGTAAATCCAGGAGCAGCTGCTGGTCTCAGGGTCTAGTGGGATTTTGGGCCTGTGTTTTCTCATGCCATCCCATGCCAAGGTGGTGTAACGCGAGCAGAGAGAGAGAGAGGGAGAGAAGAGGGGTGTTTCTGGTGGGGGGGGGTCGGGGGAGAGCGAGCCTGGTTTGTTGGGAGAGCTGTTGAGACCACGCTGGTGAGAAGGCGATGAAGTGTGGGTTGGAGGGGTTGGGGGGGGGTTTAGAAGGCGGGTGCTGTCTGGATTGGATGCATGTAAAATTAATATCCTCTGGACTTTGCCTTTGCACTAGATTGGAACTTGTCTATTTGGCTAATGACGTGCCTTCTGCCTGCACCACACACAATCCCCTTCTCTCCCCCTCCCTCCCCTCTCTCTCTCTCTCTCTCTCTCTCTCTCTCTCTCTCTCTCCACACTACCAGCCACCAACTATCCACCCCCCCCCACCTCTTTGCTTCTCCCTCTGCCATCTCTCTCTCTTCCCTCCCTTTCAGCGCTGGGAGCGTGCGTATTGGCTGGGCTGTTTGAGACTCGGTGCCAAATAGGTGGGCCCTCTGCGTGTTGGCACAGACTCAGTCAATGGTTAGAGAAGGAAAGTGGAGAGGAAGAGAGAAAGAGAGAGACAGAGTTGGAGAGAAAGAGGGGGAAAAAAGAAGCTGCACTCGGGTTTGCCAGCGGTCGTGCACACTCTTCCAACATTGATTCGGTCCTCTTGTTTTTGTTTTTTTTTTTTTCCTTCTTCTTCTCCTCTGTCCGCACCCCCCTTGTCCAGCTCTCTCTCTCCCTCTCCGTGAGTCTTATGCAGATCCTACAGAATTGAACCAATAGCACGCGCCGCTTTGCCAAGCATTTTTTTTTTTTTTGTTTTTTTTCATCAAGATATTTTTTTCTGCATTTTTTTGCAAACAAACAAAGAGACTTGTTTAAGAGGCTTGTTTAAGTGACAATTTTATCCTTTTTACTGCGATACCTGTTTTATTTTGTTCGTCCACGGCCAGCTCATTTTTATCCTTTTAGACAGAGAGATTGCTGAACTTCTACACTCTCCTTCTGTTGTGCTCTTGAACAGCACCTCTCCTGCAGCTCCTGCTACAGTACCTCCTGTGTTCCTGTGCTGGTATTACACTGCGCCCCCTTGGCCTGCCTCCTCTTTCTCAGCTTTTTTCCCCCCTGCTGCTTTTGTTGGACAGTTTCTCAGCTTCTCTTTTTGCTTAATTTTTTTCCTCAGTCTTTTATTTTCTAATATACGCAGCATTACTTCAGCACCTTTTGACTCAACAATCCAGTTTCTAAACTGGTGGTGCGTTTTAAGTTTCTTTGCAATCGGCGGGTGAATTTATGATGAGAAAGCAAAATGGTAACTACCATGTTATTCTTGTTTTATTCACATGTGTTTTGTGATAACTACTGTTATAAAGTAATTTTGAGTGCAAATTCAGTAATGTTATTTATGGATAAATTATTTTATCTTATATCTTTTTTAAATGTAACTTCTTGCTTTAATTTTAATAATTAGAATTTAGCATGTGAGTTTTCAAATTATTTCAGTGTTGTATCCATTATGTATTATAGTTTATGTAGTCATTCTTCATTATGTTTTATAAATTATTAGTATGTAAGTTATTACTTTTTTCCAGATGTTGATATAAGATGTTTTTTAGAATGAATAATTTTTTGTAGCATTAATACTGTTTTCATTGCAGTTTTGCAATGGGTAGACAAAAGTCTGGTGATATATTTTATTCATAACTAACATATTTTTTAATATTTATTTATTTAGACAGGCACAAAAAATTTTACACTAATATTATAGAAAACCATCACAGTACATACTTAATTTTTTCTCATCTCATATCTTAGTCTTTCAGTATTGTGTTGTTCAGTGTTTTGTAAAATGTGTCCTTCAATGTGATGTGTCTGTGTTAGGTGTTAGGTGGAGAGTGTCAAGCATCGTTCCCTCTCTCTCTCTCTCTCTCTCTCTCACTTTCTCCCTCTCTCTCTCGCTCTCTCTGTCTCTCTCTCTCTCTCTCTCTCTCTCTCTCTCTCTCGGCGCCTCTCGCTCATTCTCTCCCTCCGCTCACACAGAGCAGGCGCCGCTCCTCCATGCTGCGCGCCGGTGCTAACTGCCTCTCTTCTCTCTTCCCTTCCTCACCCCCACTCCCTCTCTCCCCATCCTTCTCTCCCCCATTCTCCCCCTCTCTCTCCACTGCCTCCTCCTGCTTCCCTCCCTCCTCCCTCTCCTCCACGCTCCCCCCATCCTCCTCCCTCATCCAGGATGAATTCCACCCCTTCATCGAGGCCCTGCTGCCCCATGTCCGCGCCTTTGCCTACACCTGGTTCAACCTGCAGGCCCGTAAGCGCAAGTACTTCAAGAAGCACGAGAAGCGCATGTCCAAGGAGGAAGAGCGCGCAGTGAAGGATGAGCTGCTGGGGGAGAAGCCAGAGATCAAGCAGAAGTGGGCCTCGCGCCTGCTGGCCAAGCTCCGTAAGGACATCCGGCCTGAGTTCCGTGAGGACTTTGTGCTCACCATCACGGGGAAAAAGCCCCCCTGCTGCGTGCTGTCCAACCCCGACCAGAAGGGCAAGATCCGTCGCATCGACTGCCTGCGCCAGGCCGACAAGGTGTGGCGGCTGGACCTGGTGATGGTCATCCTGTTCAAGGGCAGCCCCCTGGAGAGCACGGACGGGGAACGGCTGGTCAAGTCACCACAGTGCACCAACCCTGGCTTGTGCGTCCAGCCGCACCACATCGGAGTGTCCGTCAAGGAGCTGGACCTCTACCTGGCCTACTTCGTCCACACGCCAGGTATGTGGCCAACTGGATACTAGACAGTAATAGGGAGGGATGCCAACACACAAACACTCTATGTATGTGCACATAGATGTACACACACATTTGCATAATTACACACAGAAGCTTGTGTGGCACATAATTAAATAGAGAAAGAATGGCAGAAATAAAAATACATGAAGACAAACGTAAGTGTATTAAGTTTCAGATACACATTAAAATTGTGTTCCACATTAATGAGAGAATAAATTACAAATAAATCTGATAATAAATGAAAATTGCGAATTCAGAAAAGTGTTTATTTTACAGAATTATAAAATACAACAAACGTGTATCCCTGAGAAACAAAATGAAAATACCCTCTTGCTCTTGTTGTTTTAACAAACAGCAAATAGTTTTTCTTTTTGTCTTTTTTTGTTTTTTCGTTATTTTCATTGGTGTTTGTTTACATAACAACATAGTAACAGCAGTAATAAAAAGAATATGTGAGTCTGTCAAGGGCATTCGCCCAGCGTGCACTGGCAAGTACATGTTCATTTTTTTGAGTGAGGCATTCGTGGCTTCATACGAGCATGTATTTTGTGTTTTTTATAGGAAGGAATTTGCTTGCCTGTGTGTGTGTGTGTGTGTGTGTGTGTGTGTGTGTGTGTTTGTGTGTGTGTGAATGTTTTCATGAGATGATCACCACTTTCAAATTGTGTGTTTTTGTGCGATGAGCGAGAGTCACTGTTTATAAGATCGTACTCAGTCTGTTGAAGTGTATGTGCCACGATAAGGCCATTGTAGCCAGGGATCGTCATTTGGCCACAGCCCAGATTGGTGTGTGTGTGTGTGTGTGTGTGTGTGTGTGTGTATGTGTGTGTGTGTGTGTGTGTGTGTGTGTGTGAGTGTGTGTGTGAGTGAGTGAGAAAGAGAGAAGCAGCAGAGCCGCGAGTCTCCTGCTCTCAGGCCGCAGGCTGCTGCCGCCTTCACCGTCTGCCTGAACGCTAGCACCACGTTGGACCTGGCTGCCAAACACACACTCACACACAAAATGCCAGTGCTCACAGACAGCCAGTACTATTGCAGCCACCTTCACACCCATACACACATATACAAACACAGCTAAAAAAAGATACATTCGGTAAAAGGAAAAAAAACAAAACAAAAAACAACTCTGTCATCTTTGTAGCACACTTTCACACGTAGAGCCAAACACGGTTTTAGTCACGATTGCGTACGCACACCCACACAGCACACACACACGGCCAAGGACTATCATAGATACAGTTTGATACAGCCAAACATTGTTGTATCTCAGCCACCATCATGGATACACACACTCACACACGGCCAAACATCGCTGTAGCCTCCAGTGCGCATACTCTACACACACCGCCAAAACACTGGCTGTGTTGTAGTTTTTTCCCCACATTGCAAAAAAACACTATCACAGCAACCACACACACACACACACACACACACACACACGAAAGACATTTCACAGCCAAATCCTCCAAATACACACTACTTCACCATTTGCTGGCTACATATACAAACACATGCTCATGACCTAATATTATCTCAGCTGGAATTTTCTGGAAATTTCAAACAGTGACTCAACCAGCTTCACACACACATGCACATATATATACAGCATGCCCCAGTCACTGCCCAAATACACACACTCACTCTCTGCCCAGGCAGAACTCTTATGCTCTTATGGTAGCCGCTAACATCAGTGTAGCCAAATGCTATCACAGCCACCGCTCAGTCTCTCTCTCTCTCTCTCTCTCTCTCTCTCTCTCTCACTGACACATACACACTCACAAAATCTCGGTCCAGGCCAAACACCTCACACGGCCCGAGCCAAACCCTGGCAGCAGCTCCAGCTTCACTCTGTTGGTCTGTCTGTGATAGTGATAAACCGTAGGTAGCGGGCAGTCCTGACGATCACTAAGGAAATCTGTCTCACGGTTTGAGTGATAATTTTTTTCTGATAAATTGTACCGCAAATATAATTGATTTTATTTTTTCACTGACTTGTAATTTATTAAAACTGAGGCAGTGCTGCAAAAAAAGAAAAGTGTTTTTATAGTGGATGAGTGAGTTATGTTTTGCGTTTTAATAACATTTAACATTTAGCACTGTTCATTATTTTTCTTGTAAATTATCCTCTTAGAATACACAAAATTATAATATTATGTACGTTTAAGCTTAGCTCAGGAAGAATTATGTTTGCAAATTAAATATACTCTTAGAAGAACATTGCTTTGTCTTTGCATTTTTAGATTTGGAAGAAATTATTATGATAGTATTTGGTAGTTTACTCTGTATAATTAAAGCAATTTGTACCTAAGTATTTTTAGAACCTACCAATTTTTCAAAACATACAGGCAAAATGATTCTTCTGTTATTCTGGATCCAGGAACAAAGCCCAGTCCACGTACCCACAGTAAATTTGTGGTATTATATTACATGTATATAAGTGATGTAAAGGTTTTGAAAATAAAAATAGTTAGCGGTGGTAGCTACAGGGCATTATGTTTGACAGGTGCTCCCTCGATTGAGGGAGGACCGCATAGTAAAAATTGAAAAACTATTCTATTTTCGGTTTTCATATGGACTCTGAAACTACACACATATAAACTGTAAATGTGTCATGGCAAATTTTCCCCAGCTCCTCTGACAAACGTTAGCTGTCCAGTTTTCAGTTTGTAGCTGTGCACTCATCATTACAGTACTTTGGTTTACAGCAGTACAGTAAAACACATGGCTGCTTGGAGGGGCTGCCCAGTGCGCTGCCCATTCATAATGTGGACTTACTGTGTGCTCTCTCTTATCTTATCTGGCTAATACAGTGCGCCTCGGTACTTTTATCTGCCTCCAAAGAGCCCATGCTCAGTTTAAGTTCTCGTTGGAGAGACTCTTTGGGGTGTACAGACAGAGGGAGAGACAAAGGGCAAACCACTCTCTGCAAACCTGCCATGAGGTCGCCACTGTTACCACACTCGCCTCTCGTTCACTTCGAAGTTGTAAAGCGTATTTGTTAGCAAACAGACATGAAGGCCTGAATTTATGTATTACAGTGATGTGCGGTTGCGTGGTTTTTTTTTTTTTTTTTTGGTTTTTTTTTTTTTTTTTTTTTGCCTCAGTCACACAATGAATGACAAGATGTGCTCATTGTTTGTTTTTGTTTGGCTTGCGTTTTGTCAGTCTTTAGCATCTCTGTCTTCCTCGCTCCTCTTTGATCCCGTGCACACTTTTGTTTTGTCTCCTTAAACATCGCCCTCATTGTTGCTCTCACAGAGGTAAAGCCTCTGCTGATCTCTTTTGTTTATATTGTAGGAGACACAGAGAGAGAGAGAGGGAGAGAGAGAGCGCGTTGGAAAGGAGAAGAGGCTGCGATAGTGATTGTTCTGTTTGGCAGCGCCCGAGCCCCGTTGGTGTGGGAAGAAGAGAAAGACGTCTTGTGTTTTGTTTATGACAGAGTGGCAAAAGCTGCCACGGGGAATCTCTGGGCTTGCCGTCAGGCTTTCTCAGGCTGTTCTGCAGCCAGCCAGCCTTTGAGATCCTCTCTGTTACGGAGCATAACACACCGCAGCCGTAACAGAACAAACCATGCTGCCACAATACACAACCTTCTCCCCCTGTTTTTCGGGCACCTCAGATAAAGAGCAACAAACCAGACAGGGCAACGTGTCTTTGAACCTTGTAACTTAAATACTGGCAGAGAATAGAGGAGAGGGCAAGAGTGGTTGTGGAGCTAGCTACAACGAGTAGGGCATTATTTTTAGTGTTTTATGAAGTGTGAATGACTGGTATTATAATGAAGATAGTGATCTCTTGGCCCGGAAGTGCCAAAGGTCTGCCAGAGAACAACAAACTGGCAAAGTCCCTTTGATAACCCATGAATGGCCTGTGTTGGATAGGCTTTGTTCACGGTACTAGTTTAGATATGATTCTCACTTTTCACTTTTCACTTCTCACTTCTGACTACTGCATGGGTAGGTAGCAGTAATCATTTAACTGCTTCTCATAGGCTTCAGTGGACTATTTGATTTACAATCTTTGTGCTGTTTTAGCTTAAACTCAGCACATTTCTGATTTATTCAAGGTTGGAAAAATAGAAGATTAAAAAAAACACATTTGTCAGGTCCAAAGTTAGCTCAGTGCACTTAGTCATACTTTGGACCTCATTCTTACTGCTTTTTTTTTTCTTTTCGTTCTTTTGTACACTGTAAGTGTGATGATGAAAAGATGTTTCAAATGTGTTTCCAATCAAAAGTGCAGTACAGGAAATTTGCAGTCACTCCGAGGGAGGTGTGAAATGTGCTCGCCGTGCCATTTCTGCCATGACCGCTCCACACTCCACGCTCTGCGGTGCCAGATCCCGCCTCCCTCTCGCTATAGCAGTAGTCATGCCTTGGACGACGCTGTGAGAAAGCCCAGAGAAACCCTAGTGCTGCAGCCAGCCCCCCACTCCCGTGGCCAACTCACTGACCACAGGAAGGATTCACAAATAAAAACCCCACTTGTGTTCATCAGTGAGGAAAACTCCCCGAGTATCGTGGATTTATGGGGGAAAAAAGAGCAGAAATGTGGGAGAAGGAGAGAGGGAAAGTAGGAATAGGAGAGGGAGAGAGCGACAGAGAAAAAGAGAAGCATCCTGACAGTCATGGCTGACATGATGAATGGCTTGCGATGTGTTAAAAGTTGACAGGGTGCTCTGATGGATTCCACAGGTTCCCACTGCTCTGCAGCTCAGTATTTTTTTTTTTTCTTCTTGTGAAAATAAGCTGTTGTTAATTACTTCCTGGATCTCTTCTCCGGCTCTCATGACATCACAAGGGCTGGGTGGACTGTCCTTGTGTGTAAGTGTTTTTGTTTGTGTCTGTGTGTGTGTGTGTGTGTGTGTGTGTGTGTGTGTGTGTGTGTGTGTGTGTGTGTGTGTGTGCGCGCGTGCACATGCACAGCTCAGGATGACCCTCAGCAGTGAAGTGAGCATTGAGTTTTGATTAAATGAAATCTCAACA